AACAGCAACAGCAACAGCAACAGCAACAGCAACAGCAACAGTAGCAGCAACAGCAACAGCAACAGCAACAGCAACAGCAATACAACAAATCACAAATGAGCCACAACGAGCCACAGTCTCAAGCAATGGACTCTATTACAGCACGTGCACCAGCAAAAATATAACAATAAGCAAGATAATAACCGGGCAGGAAACGAAATTGTCTCCACATGAGATCACATAACTTAATCGTTAGTGAACTTCCACTATATTCAAGGTCATCTTGTTTGTTACGTAGTCTTGGTTGCTATGGTAATCAGAAAAGACGAAAGCAAGTTTCTTCTCCCATTACTATACCTAGTAGTAGTATTTAGATTGTCGATTATAGCATTTAGATTTAGAAATCGAAATTTGTATACTATTTTTCAACCTTCTCTTTTTTCTTAGGGTTAGTTGTCGGTTTTAGCTAGGAATACCTTGGGATCCCAGGCCAAATAGTTTTTAAAATAGCTGATAAAATAGTTTTAGGGATAATAAGGAATGAATAAATCAGTCTAAGAGAAAATCGAAAATACGCTTTAATTTAGGGAAAACTGACTTTATAATTGATATTTTTGGGAATAGGTCGACTGAACGTTAGAGTTTTCCCTTCATCCCCTCCCCCCCCCMAAAAAAATTCCGTTCTCGCTCTTTCCAAAAACACGCTAGCATTGAATTTCTGTCGTCCATGAAAAGTTACACGAAAACAAAAAAAAGTACGTTGATGACTAAATCAATGGCGTATTTTTCACTTAGAACTCATGGAATATGTTGAAGTAGAGGTCACTAGTGTAGACATGCGTGCTCAAAAAGAGTCGTGTTCAAAGGAGTGTCACATACGAACGTACTCCAGAAGTTTCTTCGTATAATCTCGTGCACACACCGAGAGAGCTAAACTAACAATAACGATAGCTTTGGAGACTCATAAATATTTTAAAATTGAATGCCAGAATTTATAATAGTGGATATTGATTATGGAAATATCTCAGTAACGAAAAACACTGGCGTTTTCACCATCAATAAACTCTTATAGCGCAATCTCTTTGGGATACTCGAAAAATCAGACGACAAAAATATCATTGACCCAAGCAAGAAGCATCAGTCATATTACTTTAACTTTCTTTCTTTCGTAACCTTTATATTTCAAGATTCAGCTAGGGCTGGTATAGGGGTTTAATGAATATTGATCTTACCTTAAAGATGACGAGAAATCTCCAAACGTTTGAGACACTTATGTGTTTACGAACTAGAACACTTCCACTTACGTCTGTTCACTGTTTTCATTTGATATGCCAAGAGAGTATTGTGTTACAAGGCGCTGAAATACTGATAAAGCTAGCGAAACAGGAAGTGAGCAACTCAGTACCTTGAACAAGAATTTAGTTCATGTAATAAAATAATACTTCAGTGCTGCTACAATTCCATGTCATTTATCACCATTATTCAGTTGTAATATTTGAACAGAAACGGTCCCACACAAGGCAATTATGTTCGTGATAAAACTTCTGCTGACAGAAGCGAACGGTTTCTAACGAGGTTGCGTCGTAACGGAACAATTACATGGGATCATCACTTTTCTGTGGTTATTTTTGTCGAATGACCTTTCTAGTTTACATCTTTTTTTTAATTTTATTTTTTTTTCAAAGAAAAAATAATGCTGAACTGAATTGAGGTGCTTTTTTCACTGTAGTCTTCTTCTGCATGACCACACCTGTGATTTGAAGTGGGGGAAATATTTGCTCATCAGGATCTATCAGATTCTCGTACTAGATGTTGGACTGGGAGCTGTTTGCAATGATGTAAGTTTTAGCGGAATCGGCGTTACCATAGTGACAAAAACAAGCATCTATGAAATCGTTTTTTTCAAGTGCGCTAAACTAGTGAATATAGTTAATGCAAATCTACACCGTGTGACATCATTGACTATGATTTAATCACTGAAAATGACATCCCACATGGAAAGGAGTGACTATGGATCTTAATTCATCAGCAACAAAATCGATTATTTAGGTCTGCTGGTCATAGCAAGGGGTTAATCATCTATGGTCTAGGGGCCGACTAACCTCTCCCTTAGGCTTTTGCCGGGCTTCCTGATCAGTCTGTAATTCCTCCCGGGATAGCGGTGTCGGGGTCGAAATCTCTGGCGTAGCCGTAAATGCTTCGCGCTACCATACAACGCTTCAGCATT